ACACGTGCTCGTGCGGGGGGAACGCGGGGGCTGCTCACCTGCAACGCATTGTCTTCTTGCATTTCAGAACAGAGGCTTCTCCAAGAAGAGTCACACGTTCCTGCCTAAAATATTTAAAAAAATGTCTACTCAGTCGGCGAAAGAAAGACCCGAAAGCTTGCAGTTCCCCTTCCTGGACGACGAAGACACCATCTCCACCCTCAAAGAATCCAAAACCTTTGTGATCCTGAGGGGGCTGCCCGGCAGCGGGAAGTCCACGCTGGCCCAGGCCATTCAAGATCGGTACAAAGACGCCTGCAAGGTCATCTCCGTCGACAGCTACAAAATCCCACCTTCCGTAAGAAGCACCGTTCCCGAAGAATATTCCAAGGTGGACGAGGATCTAGTTGACTATTGCAAACGGGAGATCAGCGTCATCGTTCTGGATGACACTCACCACGAGAGGGAAAGGCTGGAGCAGCTCTTTGATATCGCTGACAAATACCGGTACAAAGTCATCTTCGCCGAGCCCAAAACCCAGTGGCGACTGGATTGTTTGCAGCTGAAGGACAAGAATCAGTGGAAACTCTCGGTGGAAGAGCTGAAGAAGCTGAAGCCCAGCTTGGAGAAGGAATTCCTGCCCATGTATTTCGGGTGGTTTCTGAGCAAGAGGAGCTCGGAGATGCTGAGGAAGGCTGGCCAGGCCTTCTTAGATGAGCTGGGGAGCATGAAAGCCTTCAAAAAGGAGAGTAAATACTGTATGTATGGAAGTGTCTTTCTTACCGTGAGGGGATGAAACGGTGACAGGCAGCAAATGCAACATTTGGTCAGATTCTAAACTGAGTTTCTAGTTAAAATTAGCAACGAGAAAAACTGTTTAAATACACAAATCTGTTTCCCATCACGGACCAAGCTGCTGCTTGGCCGTAAAAATAAACAAAGCAGTTTTTCTTAAGGGGTCTCTTTACCCGTGAGACGTGGGGAGCGGGAGGCAGCAGCGCTCCATGGGGGCCGGGCCTCCCCCCGCTGCTGCCGTGGGTCAGAGGGAGGAGGGAGGGACCCCCCTGTCCCCGGAGGGGTTTGTACAACATCAGGTTTAGGACGAGGCACGATGATGTGCAGAAGCTCCTGTTTTCTGGTCACACCCCGTCAGGGTGGAAGCAGGAGCTTTATTTACCCATTGAATCCTTTTCAGCAGCAACAAAGGTGAAAGGGGAGGGAGGGGAAGCTGGGATGGGACTCGTGGGGTGACATCGGGGGGGGTCAGGCTGTGACAGAAATGGTTTCCCTGTGTTTGCAGTTGCTTCTGCCATCGAAGATCCCAAAATCAAAATCGATCTCACCAGCTACTTCGTGAAGAGGCCGCCCGGGGTCCTGCACTGCACCACCAAATACACCGACTTCGGGAAGGCGGCTGGAGCCGAGGAATACGCCCAGCAAGAGGTGAGTACGGGGGCTGTGACCCCCCCCCAGCACCCCCTTCCCTGCGGGGATCCACCAGCCCCCGGGGTTGGGCTGGGGCCGTGAGGGGAACGGTGGGGACAGTACCCACGTCCAGGGGGGCTGTGCCATAGAAAAGTCAGAGTCGTGGGAGAGATGGAGACTAGTTCCTGTTTCCCTGTCCCCACCACCCTGATTTCCAGCCCAAACAGTGTGATGAGAATGATGATAAATGGAGGTGTTTGCACTCCCGGCTAAACCACTTCAAAATAAGCCCAAGTTCAATATGGGCATTTGTGAAGGGAAAAAGATGTCACCGGCTCCAAATATCATAGAATCATAAAATTGTCCAGGTTGGAAGGGACCTCCAAAGGCCATCTAGTCCGACCCCCCCACAATCAGCAGGGACACCCCCAACTAGACCAGGTTGCCCCATCGAGCCTCACCTTGAATATCTCCAGGGATGGGGCCTCAACCACCTCCCTGGGCAACCTGTTCCAGTGCTCCACCACCCTCAGAGTAAAAATTCAGGGAGCAGGAATTTGGGACATGATCTCCCAGTGGAGGAGAGCGTTTCAAACCCATCAAGGCAAGAGCTGCCATGCTCTACCTGAGCCCTGGTGGCCACAGGTGGCTCATGCTCTGCCCTTCTCTCCCTGCCCAGGCCGTGAGGGCTTCCTACGGCAAAGGCTTCGTCCTGGCCATCTCCGCCCTCTTCATCACCACAAAGACTGTGGGTGCCCGCGTGGAGCTGAGCGAGCAGCAGCTGCAGCTCTGGCCGGGGGACGCCGACAAGGTCCTCCCCACCGACAACCTGCCGCGGGGCAGCAGGGCCCACGTCACCCTGGGCTGTGCCAACGGGGTGGAGGCCGTGCAGACCGGGCTGGACCTGCTGGAGTTTGTCAAACTGGAGAAAGCGGGGAACAAAGGGGATCAGGTGGGGGAAATCGGAGGAGGGAAACTGCTCTACTTTGAGAACGGGATGTGGATGCTCAACCTCGCCAAAAAGATGGATGTGAAGGCGATTTTCTCAGGGTACTACGGAAAAGGGAAACTTGTCCCGACCCAGAGCACCAACAAACGGGGCTCTGCTTTTAGCTCCTGCACCATCATCTAAGGGCCGGGGCAGGGCGGCGGGTCTGGGGGTTTTTAAAAAGGCAAGTAACTCCTGTAACCTTTAAAACTGTAAAGAGAAATAATTCTACCTTTACTAAAGCAAGCCCTTTGCCAGCCCCAGCGTGAAGCCTCTCTGGGGAGTTCATCGGCCTCAGGAGGAGGAAGAAAACAAGCGACTCTGACAAAGGCAACCTCTGCCCTCGCTGCCAGCAGCGACTCACCTGCTGCCCAGCGTGTTCCAACGGACGGGTTTTGCCGTTCTGCTTGTTTTCTTCCTCGCAGGAAGATCCACCACGGTCTGTTAGAACTTCACCCCAACCACAATCGTTAGATCTTTACCCCGTCAGAACGACGAGCGGTGCCAGAGCAGGGCCCCGACGCGCGTCACCGCTCTGAAGCCGAGTGAGTGAACCGGGGACCATCTCCCCCCTTCTCCCCGACCCCCAGGGACTGACACCGCTCACTCTGGCAGGGGAATTAACTGGGCAAAAACCAGTAACACACAACTGTGGGTCACTCCTGCCCAGTGTAGCTGCAGCCCCCCAGCCCTGCGCTGCCCCAGAAGCAACTGCGTGGCCAGACCGTGTCCTACAGAGCAGACATGGATTAGAAAAAAAGAAAAGATTTTTAAAAAATCCCCAAAAGGGAAAGTAGCGGGACACGGGGGAGACACTGGGCTCCCCCCAGCTCTTCCCTTGGCACGTCAGTGGGGGCTGGACCAAGCGCTGCCCCGTGTCCTTGTCCTGTAGGGAACAATCCTGCCCTGGCGGGGGGGTGGAAAAGATGAAGCAGTGTCTTTTTCCATCTCATTTTGTAGAAACTAAAATCGTGTCTGAAGTGCAGAGCTGCACCTCATGCAGGATTTTACTCCTCCTCTCGTAACGCGCCGGGTGGGATGGCAGTAACGCTGTAACGCAGGGAGCGGAGGAATCGTAACCGCGTAACTCACGTCTGCTCAAACCTAAACCCTTGGCTGGAAAAAAAAAAAAAAAAATTGTTAATGATCGAGCACTTCTGTTACTGAGTCTCTGTTTTATGAAAAAGTCCTGGTTTTTTGCTCGTCGCAGCCCGGGCGGGGGGTTCCTGGGCACAGCTTGGCTGTAACTCAAAGCTCAAACTAACGGCTTCGGCTCCGGACGAGGTTTAATCTCCCGCCGTGGCTCTGTCCGGTGCCCTGCGCAGTGACATTAATCCCCCACTAACTCCTGTAAATACTCACCGCCTTCGAGGAGCGCCGCCGGGGCTGGGGTGCGGGCGCAGGAGCCTTCTCTCAACCCTCACCACAAGCTGGGGAGCACCTTCACCAGCAAAGCAACACGCTTCCTGCTGCTTCCGAAAGAGGGGTGACAAAAATCTCATGATATCATGATATCATTAAACAATTCTGTATCCACCCCCCCCCCACTCTTCCCCATCAACACCAAATTCCTTCTGGCTCCTGCCCCGGCAGAGGGGTGAGTCCTGATGCTCAGCTCGGGCCGTTCCCAACGAATCTCACACCGGTTTGGTCCCATCAACACCTTAAAAGCACCTTTTCCAGCCCCCGAGGGAGCACAGGAGCTCGTGCCCCCCTCTCCCTCCCCGGGAACAACCCGATGCTCCAGGTCTCACCCGGCACCGACCGGCGCGGCTGGAACCTCCTCTTTATTCACCTCTTCAAGAACAAGAGTGAGACCGTCCTCCGTTAAGTTTTTATTAGTTTGTACATCATATACAGTTTATAATAAAGTAAACCAATTGCATATGGTTTTGCCTCAGCCTGTGACATTCTTCATTATAAACACCTCATTATGAACGATGCCTAACGAAGTAAACAACGAATATTCACATTTTTACCGTTCACATCCTAGAAGGGGGAGGGGGTGGGGTGGGGAAGGGGCCGTGTCACACACACCCACGCGAAGCCCGGCCTGGAGAGGAGGAGGAGGAGGAGGAGGAAGAGGAGGCGACGGCGTTTGGCGAAGCGGTGGGGACAGCCATGTCCATGCGGGGCTCCCCCCCACAAAAAAGGGAAAGGAGAAGGGATTTACACTGAGGTAAAACGTTCCCAATTTTGATGCAGACCCTGCCCCTCTCCAGGGTGGCTTCACGGTGGTGCTGGGGGGTGTCCAGACCATTCCAAGAGGTGGGTGGGAGGCAGACAGGCATGCGGGGGGGTGGCTGGGGAGGGGGGGCTCACACTCACCCCCCAACAGCTTCACACCACTCTCTCTCTGAGCACAAGCTGCTGAGTGGAGGCGGGAGGAGGATGAGGATGGAGAGGACGGCGCGGCGGTGAGGGTGGCCGTGCCAGAGCTGCGGGCACATCCCAGTTCTCCCAGCAAAACTCCTGCCTTCCCCAATCGCCCGGCCGTGCCCAACCCCAGCTCAGTGCCCCCCTGCACAGCCCAGGCATCAGTTCTTGGCACATCCCCATGGAGCAAGGACCTGCCCAGCAAAGAGGGGACAATCCCCTCCCGGCCGTGGGAGGCCAAAGCGTTACCATCATCTCTCAAAGCCCAGCTCAGGTCCTGCCGCCCCGGTGAGCGGGGACAATGGGGACAGCCCCGGGAGGGACCGGAGCTGCCCTTTTCCCTTGGGAAGGGAAGGGGAAGGGAGGGCACAAGGCACAAATTTAAAGGGGATGAAAACCATCCACTCGAAGAGAAGCGAATGTCTTCGGTTACTACTGAAAATGAGGATGTAGCTTTGAGAGAAGAGCAAACCACCGCGTGGTCCCAACGCTTTGGTCGGTCATTGGAGCCCACACAGCAGCTCTCACTCCAAACCCCTTCAGATCCACAAAGCCAAGGGACCCGCAACCCTCAATAATACTGTTGTCCCGAAACATTTAATTTTTCCTTTCTCCTTTCCCCCCCTCCCCCCCCAATCTGCATTAACGTATTTACAGAAGTCAGACCCCTCCAGCACCGAGGGCCCAGCTTTACAGCGACACTTCCACGATCACAAGCGACACCACGGACCTTCCTATGAGGCACCCGTCAGGGTGGGCAACCAGAACCATCCCAAAGGTCTCTGCTGAGGACTCCAGTCCAGGCCCAGCACCTCTGGGCAGGATTCTCTCCACATCCCCCCCCGAAAGGCAGGGCTGACACAGCACCACGTTCATAAAGTAAATCCACGCAAGGAAACTCACACCAGGGACCGGGACGGGGCTCGAGGCACCAACGTCCTGTGGTGCTTCACCCCCAACATCTGCCTCCAACATCTGCACAAGCTCTTTATCCCCCCAGAGAGAGCACAGCCCTAAATTCCCTCTGAGACACTCATTTGGGATCTCCATGGCAAACTCCTCCATCCAGCAGCTCCTGGTGAGCCCGGGGGGGGTGGCAGCAAGGAAATGGCACTAAGGTTCCCTGCACAAAACACAGCCCATGACCATCCCACAACCACCCAGGGTGAAAGGCAACGTCTCGGGCCACGCACGTCTGAGATTTCACCCAAAAAATCCGAGTCCCACGTCTCAGAGGTGACGATGCCACCACCCCATGGTACCAGGAGTCACCCACCGCCGTGCACCCCCCGTGCTCCGTGTTCCCCTTCATTTGAGTCACACCGTAACGCTCCCCGGAAAGCCTTGGCACTCACCAAATCACTATTTAACTACATTGAACCATGCATTCAGGTACGGGGTTAGAAACAGCTCCTCGTTCACTGTCTCTCTCCAAAAAGCCATTCCACGTCTGTCCTCCCGGCAGCGGCCTCATCCAAAGCCTGGGGGAGAAGGAAACCTCTCCTGCTCCACTGGGAAGGGGGGGGAATGATGAAACCCACTGAGAAAGGCAGGACACATCCCTGCCCAGCGATAAAAGGACTGAGAAAAGCCCAAACTGCACAGAAACATCGACACACACGGGACAAGTTATGAATCTGGACCATCACATACACCGGCCCTGGAGGCTCCGATTCCCCAGCACTGGGAGAACTGGGGAAGCACCAAAACACAGAGCCTGGAATTCTCAGTTTCCTGGGAATTCCCCCATCGGAGCCCGATGGACACCAGGACCTGGACTCGCTCTCGGTGCGACCCGGGCGAGTCCTTCACCACACACTGGCACGAAGGAAGTTAAAATAAATGCAATAGAGTCTATTTTTGCAAATATCACTCAACATCGGCTCATTTCAAAAGCTGACTTTTGAGCGAATTATAAAATACTGTCTTTATCCTGCAAGTACTAGAATTTAAGCCCTTAAATCTTCCCTCTAGGAGGGCAGATCGTCGGGAATTCCGAGCCAGCCCCAGCCCAGGGCCGTGGCACCGGGAGCACCGTGCCCTGGGGACAGAGTGACCGGGCACCGAGCGCAGCCCTCGGGAGGGAGGAAGACAGAGATGTCAGTGTTCAAAAGAATCACTTCATGTTCCTGCAGCAAAGAGTTAAATGGGACACGATATAAAAGCGACAGGTTTCTCCAGGAGACTCTGCTGAGATTCGCACCAAGCCCTGTCCCTAAAGGTCCCAAGGCCACCAAGGAGCAGCCCGAAGTGCTGGGGACACGGTGACACTGCCCAGACTCTGCCCTTCCCATGGGATGGCCCAGACCCAAGGAAGGGTCCCTCACCCCCACAGGAGCCAGATCCAGGTCCCCAACACGGCACCTGGGTAAGAGAAAGGGGAGAAATCTGGAAGCAGAGCCTTCTCCCAGCTGGTTCCTCCCAGTAACACCACAGCTCAGGAGGAGGAGGAGAACCCAGCAACAACCATCAATCCCAACAACAAACCCATCCTCACGGCGCCGGCTCCGAGCCCACGGGCTCAAGAGAAGCAAGTGACAAACTGGCAGCTCCCAGCCTGACTTTGCCTTTTCCTTGCTTCTCCAGTGAGTCCCTCCCAGTTGAAAACCACCTGCCCAGTTGAAGGGATTCACACAGTTCCTGTAAACACCAGGAGAACACGGCAGCTGCCCCACACCCCAACATCCCTCTGCATTTCTTCAGAGCCACAAAGAGCCCGTCCACGTTACGGATCAGTAACAGGGAATCAAACATCAAGCTCAACAAAAATCAAGTTTCAGCACAAATATTAAGAGTTCAAGTGGATGAATTAAAAAAAAAAACCGTACGGTGGAGAAATTCAGCCCAGAGCAAATTCAATATTCCCTTAAAACAGGCCAATTCTCGGAGTGGAAACACAAAGCCCTTAGTTCTCGCTTGCGTCACAGGGAATTCTCCCAGAAGCTGCTCTTGTAAATCCAAAGGAGCATTTCTCTGACACAAAAAACTGTTCAGTTCCCACGTTATCATTGAAGTTAATGCCCAAGTGACCGTCCTGGCAGAACCACGGCAAAATAATAATAATAAAAAAAAATAAAAATAGACAGTTGGCAGGTAAATCCCGAGTGTGTGAACCTCGACTGAATCCTGGTGGTATTTTCAGCAGATCAGGGTAACTCCCAGGTTAGTGCAGAGCCAGCCGCTGCCACGCTGCACTCCAGGGCCAACCAAGACACACCAGGAGATGACTTCACCCTCCTACGAGTCGAGATTCCGGGAGGAATTTCAGGGAAATCCTCTCTGCTGAGGAGCAGGGTCAGTCTGAAAGCAGGGGCCAGCATGGAGGGACCAAAAAGATTCAAACCTTTATTTTTTTTTTTTTTTTTAATAAAGTTAACAGTAAAACAAAATTCACAAGCCTTCCCCTCCCCGAGCTGGTTTCCTCTTCACACACAAGAGCACACAAAACAGAGGTCTCCAACCAAGAGAAATGAAACTGCTCTAAGTACAATGAGACATGATGAAGGAAGGAGTCTAAGTATGTCCGTATTCGAGGTTAAAATAGTGGATCAGGTACGTGAGGTTTGGGTTTTTTTTTTTAGCCAAACTGGAAAAAGAAATTTCCAGGCCCAGAAGCTGAAAAAGAAAATGAAAGATATTAGCACCTTCACAACCCAGAACTGAGCTGACTCCTCCTATGGCAGCACCTCGGGCACCACTGATCCCAGTGGGGAGAGAGACAGGGGCTCTGCCCGGCGTCCCCAGCAGAGATTTCCAACCAGTAAGAGAGGGGACTATGGACAACATGGATAAAGGAGGCAAATTTGCAAGGACGAAGGTAAAACAGCCCAGGAAGTGTGTGAGACTTCCCAAAATTCAGTCAGAGAAAGTCCTCAAGGAACACACCCTGAGGGGTAGGAGCTCAACACTGGGTAAAGCCGTCCTGCCCCTGGGTGGGTGAAGAAAGGCCAAGCAGACGTGGGGTTTGAGGAGACACTGGGTAACATGGGGTTTGAGGAGACACTGGGTAACATCCTTCCTTGCCCCCAGTCACCCCAAAGTGTCTGTGGGCAGAGGCTGAGGACTCTCAGTGCCAGGAGAGCAGGGGAGAGGGGTGTGATACACACAGGGCTGCCCAAGGATCCCCTGGTGCCACTTCAGCACCAGTGGCCGTCCCCAGGTCACAGGCAACTATCACCAAGCAGCAAACACCACCTCGATGTCTCTGGCCAAAGGCATCAAGGTGGTGTTTGTGCATGGGCACAACTAAACTGGGCATGTTTAGTTTGGAGAAGAGGAGGCTGAGGGGAGACCTCATTGCCCTCTACAACTACCTGAAAGGAGGTTGTAGAGAGGCAGGTGTTGGCCTCTTCTCCCAAAGGACAAACGACAAGAGCAGAGGAAATGGTCTGAAGTTGGGGCAGGAGAGATTTAGATTAGATATTAGAAAGAATTACTTTACTGAGAGAGTGGTCAGGCACTGGAACAGCCTGCCCAGGGAGGTGGTGGAGTCACCATCCCTGGAGGGAT